TTTATTGTTCTTAACTTTTATGGTCAATTTAGGATATTAATGATGTTATGATGCTTAGATCATGATTTTGTGGAAAATGATTAAAGCTGCATGTTTGTATGTGAATGGTGATTAGCATGAAAAATGGATGGGCCCATGCCTTGCTTAAACATAGAATGTCAAGAATTGCCATCTAAAATCTAGGTACTTTGTCAAAAGAGATTAAACTCTTAATGTCTTTTATTTGGGATGTTTGTTGGTCTGCCTCTGAAATGCCCTACAGGGAATTTGGGGCAAGATTTTCTATTAGACTGTTGCTTTTATGTACCTAGCACGTCTTAAGTTTGTGCTTTAAGGGAACTTGTTAGAAGTAACATTTAAACCTGAGTTGATATTGAAGAAAACCAGATTGCTATTCAGAACTTGTTGGTTATTGATGTTTGTTGCTGCTTAATTATCCTGGTGGACAATTGCTTCTGGTTGTTGTTTCTTAGAGATAAGAGTTCAGAAAATAGTCTAAACTTGTTAGTTTTGATGTTTCTTGGTTTACCTATAAAGAAACTCGGCCATAATTATCACTTCAGCAAGATTATAGGTGTTCAATCAACCTTCTTTAACATAGCAGTTATCTAATGCTGCCCTGTTCTTGTTTAATGTGGACTTTGCTGGGATGATTAGTCCTCATTCTCAGGCTTAGTTCACAGTTTCGTGGATACTGTGATAGGGAACTTGTCCTGTAAACTCTCTGAATAATATATGGTGGCAATTCTGGTAAATGACTTACCTTTTCTTTTTTATGATCGACAGAAATACTGCTTGTGTGCGGTGGCATCTAGGGCATAATTAATGGGATGTCGTGTATTGTAATACATGGGTGTTTCTCTCTTATTGCAATATATTGGTGTTTCTTTCTTAATGAGACAATTAGCAGGGGTTCAGAAAAGAGGTGATTATTTGTTGTAATGTATGGAATGCCTTGTACACCGCAATCTCATCACAGGGGCACGGATATCAAGGTGCTCAATGGAATCAAATTGACTAAAAAATGTGTAATTCTTTTTTTTTTTTTTTGGTGGCTCTATCATCTTCTTTTTTCTTAACGGGTTAATAATGTGGTGGTAGAGATGCCAACATTTGACAGTATAATTTTTCAAATCCAGATAAATTTGTTGATGTCAACATAATTTCAACTAATCTTCAATCTCATAGGAAGTCTGCTAGTTTTGATCTGCAGGCTTTCTTGTCAGTTGTCTGGTACATGATATATCAGGGATTTAAGCTGTTGAATTGTATCACAAGGCTTAGATTGTTTATAATATCTGATGTGGGAGTCTCAATTTTCCTTTAGTGCGTGGATAACCCTATTGAGCATCCAGGCAAGACATTGATCAATGAGCGGAGAAATTTTTAATCCTAATTAATTTACTCTCATCTTTGACATAATGTTTTATCTCGTTTTTCCCTGCGGTACAGAGAAACAGTGTATACAGGACATTTCATCTACATTCCCTTTCTAGCCTTGTCTTACATGTATTGGATTCCCTATATCTTCTACTGTTAAAGAATGGAGAACGCCACCAAACAATATTGCTCATCCTTGTCTTGTTGTGTTTGATTACAGGCGGACACGTGCTGTGTTTGATGTTGCGATCAAGGTTCATCGTAATATACAGGAGAGAGACCTTGAAGTAGGAAGGAGTATTGGGATCAGGATACTAAGATGGCTTGACAGGATGAAGCCATCTGCTCAGATTCAACCAAAGCCTCCCCGGAATGGTAATGCAAGCACAAGTGTGAAGAGGCATTTAACTGATTCAAGCCACCAGTCAACTCCCTCAAACTTCCAAAGAAATGGTGTACGAAGTGGGGCTCCTGATTCTGACAGACATTTATTTACCTCATCAAGGAATGTCTGGCCTAAATCATTCCAAAGCGTTGCTATGATGATGCGACGGACCAAGCCAGCTGGAGTTAATACTCAGTACCGACATTTAAGCATCTATGGTCTGCAGGCTCTTAAGGTTAACTATGGAGGACTTGGTTCAGGTGGAGTCGTTCGAAGCGACATAATGCAGTGGATGTTACAAAACTAGTCCATACAGCAAAAGTTCTATATTCTATATCCATCATGTCTGTGTTCATTGGTGGGTATAAGCAGTTTATGAAGGCTAACTTGACAACAGAAAGCGGATGGTTAGAGACTCCTTTCTGGCTGTGATTTCGTTCTTTGGGGATTAATAATATCTTTTTAAACTCTTTCCCCTTGATTCTGTATGTTGTTTTCAACCCTTTTACAATTTTGGAATCCTGAAGCTGTATCGTTCAGGATCATAGATACTATCACAGTTCTTTCTATTAAATTTTTCGCAGAGAACAGTACATGTGAATGCTTTCTTTCTTTGGACTGGTTTGTTACTGTAATATCAAAGCTACATCTCTTTTTTTCTTTTTGGTGGTTTCATTTTAAGGAAATGAGAGGTTTAGGGCCTGTTCTCAGGTCATGGAATATTGTTGTATTGTATAGCACTGCATCCCCTATTATTATCTCAACTTTGAGAATCCATTCGTTTTATTTTAGAGTGGAAAATGATCCTACTGAAAAGGGCTGAACAGTTTTAGAATGGAAAGACTTGAGAATTCGGAATCATTTCTCATGATTTTACTTGAGACGTGAGAATAATAATGCAGCAAAATTGAAACTTTGGCTAGTGACTATCATTCCTGCATTCCAAAAAAAAAAAAAAAAAAAAAAAAAGAAGTACTACATTAAATCTTTATTAGGTAGTGATTATGTGATTTAGACTTTAAGGCTTTTCATTTGTTAATTCAAGATTGAAATGCAATTAAAAGTTTGACATCTTTAGTCATGGTGTAGAATTACTATTTTGTTTCTTAGTTTTGAGAAGTTGAAATACACAATCAATTAGGGTTAAGAAAAGGAAAATGATATTTACACCACTTTAAAGTCATAGAAACTAAGTAAACAATATTTCACCTCATATTTATTTTTGATTATTACCATATTTGGATCTATTGCTTAGGCATCTTATATTTATTCCAAGGGATAATTGCAGAAACTTCCCCCGAGGTTTCTGACATTTGCACTGACCTCTCCTGTGGTTTGAAAAATTACACTGACATCCCCTGAGATTACTAATCCTTTGCAAATTCAGTCCAAACGATTAAAATATTGTTTTAGGGAGTGAAATTAGAATTTTGTACCAAATTTGTCCTTTGTACTACATGTCCAATGAATGACAAAGTACGACAAATCAATTAACAATTAATAAACTTTAAGGAGTATAGTTTATAGGCAAATATGCATTACCTACTTAAAGTACCAGTTCTTTATGGGTATTTTACTTTCAAACATTTAATTTAATACAAATATTTACGCTCAAATACAGATTTGTATTTACATTCAAATATTTAATTTTTGTTAAATACAAAAACTACCAATCTCTCTTTCATAAAAACATTAATATAACATTTTTTCAATTTTAGTTACAAACATCTATGTATTTAACATAAATTAAATGATTCAGAATAAAATGCCCATAAAGAGCCAATACTTTACTGATGTAATGGATGAAAACCATAAAGAATTAATACTTTATGGGCCATTTCTTCTTTTTTAAAAAAATATTTAATTTATATTAAGTAAATAACCTAACGATTTCCTTTTTGCAAAAATATTACTGTAACACTTTTTGAATTTACTTACAAACATTGATGTATTTATCATAAATTAAATGTTTGAAAATAAAATACCCGTAAAGAACCAGTACTTTAAATGAGTAATGCATGTTTGTCCATAAAGAGCCGGTAACTATTTAAAGTACCGGTTCTTTACGGGTATTTTACTTTCAAACATTTAATTTAATACAAATATTTACGCTCAAATACAGATTTGTATTTACTTTCAAATATTTAATTTTTGTTAAATATAAAATCTATCAATCTCTTTCCGTAAAAATATTAATATAACACTTTTTCAATTTTAGTTACAAACATTTATGTATTTAACATAAATTAAATGGTTCAGAATAAAATGCACATAAAGAGCGAATCCTTTACCATGTAATGGATGAAAGTCATAAAAAATTAATACTTTATGGCCATTTCTTTTTTTAAAAAAATATTTAATTTATATTAAATAAATAACCTAACGATTTCCTTTTTGCAGGAATATTACTGTAACAATTTTTAAATTTTACTTACAAACATTGATATATTTATCATAAATTAAATATTTGAAAGTAAAATACCCGTAAAGAGCCAGTACTTTATATGAGTAATGCGTGTTTGCCCATAAATTATACTCCTTAAAGTTTATTAATTATTAATTGATTTATAGTACTTTGTCATTCATTGGACATATAGCACAAAGGGCAAATCTGGTACAAAATTCTAATTTCACTCCTTAAAATAATATTTTAATAGTTTGGACTAAATTTGCAAAGGATTAGTAACCTCAGGAGAGGTCAGTGTAATTTTTCAAACCACAGGGGAGGTCAGTGCAAATGTCAGAAACCTCAGGAGAGGTTTCTGCAATTATCCCTTATTCCAATCACTTAATTATGATTGAACCCTTAAGAATATAGAGGAAAAGAGATTTAAAGAAAATAAGTGTGTCCGGATATTAATTTATTTGTAGAATATTTTTTACTTATATTATAAACACGTTTTTCAAACACGTTTTTTATATTTTCAATTATCATTTTATTACAGTAGTGTTATTTCAAATAATTTTTCCAATAATCTTCTATCCAAAATACACTTAACGCTAAGGGTGCGTTTGGTTCCCTATAGAATTGAGGTTTAGAATTGGAATTGGGGCCCTAATTCCAATTCCATTGTTTGGATTTTGCTCCCCTCAAAGAATTAGAATTGAATCTGAATTCTATAGGAGTCCAATTCTATGAATTGAATTCTTTACCAGATCAAAAGAATTCTAATTCCAATTCCACAATTAAACGGGTCCAAACGCGGATCTAATATGGATCAAAAATTAAAATCGGGTCAAGGGCATCGGCACCCCTCTCTTTCTATCTAACTCACCATTTTTCCTCAGCCGCAGGTGCTCTGCTCTCCACCATCGCTTCCACCTGCAACCCTTTCCCACCACCGTCTCCCCCCTGCCTTCCGTTTCTCTGGCCACTCCCTCCATCCTTCGCCTCTCTCGCCACTCAGAAGTAAGCATATCTGCATAACAATTTGTTTCCTATTATTTTCACCTGGAACTGATAGACTCTCAGATGCTATTTGTTGTCTTTCTGATGAGGATCAACTGTCAGCTGTAAACAATTGAGTCTGGGTGGCATGTGATGATAGCGTAGAGGAAGATTTTTAATGGACCTGACCGCTAAAAGGCATTTGATTCATTATTAAGATTCAAAAGGTAAGACAAGTGCGATTTGAAATACAAATGTACGGGTTCTTTTGATGTTGAAATTTCTCAGATTTCCACTGAAATATAATCATAAAATCCTGGGACGAGCATTGGCTTTCTTGTTGCAATGTTGTACTCGTAACACTTGTCTTTCACTGATATATTCCCACTTCCTTGTTTGTGGAGAAGCTGTATTACTTGACAAAATTTTCAAAATATATACGTTTATTCCCCTGCCTCCTCTGTATGATTAATCAATTGCTGGTGAAGTAGTTGTCAAATATTTTATTAGATGCTGATGCGTATTCATCTCCATGTGTTTTTGAAATTAGCATGAAAAATGGGAAAAGGTTTTTTTTATTTTTCTATATTCTTTGCTTGTTGATCATTGCGGGTTGGAAAAATTGAGGAATTTACTTGTTAGGGAAACTTTTTGTATTTTTAGTATGAAAATGAATGATATTTGTATATTGCAGGAGTGGAAAAAGCAAACTAATAACAAAAAAGATCAAGAAAACTTGGTGGAATTGAACAGATTTTCAACTGAATGGAACTACTAAATTGCTAAACTTGCTTAGCTCCTATTATTTATGATGGTCGAGTGAGATATTATGTTCTGCCATGTCTGCTGGTCTTGTTTTTGTTATTACGCTTTGATTGGTACAATGGAATTACACTTGCATTTTTTAGGAACATTGTCTTCTGATGACTACTAGTTGTGGCTGTGTAGTTGAGCTGCATATATATATATATAAGCTTTGTATATGCCATATAATGATCATGTGATTACAAGTGTTTTTAAGAGGGAGTGTGAGTTCTTATATGTCCCACTTTAGTGTTAGTGCATGTGTTATGATTCTATTTGGGTACAATTAGGTGGACATAGTCTGTTGTTTCTATCTATTCCTCCCATCATCCAACGTTTAGGAAGGAAGATTTGGAAGGAATTGCAAATAAATACTACTACTTTATTTATCCCTGATAAAGCTTTGTATGGTTAGACTTTTTTTTTTTTTTGCTGCAGACATACCTTGGATCAATCAAATAATTAGTTCAGCTACCAAAAACAGGCAAATAAAAAATTCGTTCTGGCAAGAAATTTGATAGGGGTGGTATATATGGACCTTTTTCGCCCCATTACATCTCAAAAACAAGCAAAAGAATCAGAGACTATCTTCAGTTTCTGAAAGCACCTAGAAGCTACAATTCGGAGAAGTTAGAACATTATGTGATTTGATATGTGTATATATCAAAGAAATTCTTTTGTTTGGACATCAACCACTTAACTAAAGGTGTTCTTTGTTGAAGCCTTGCCAGATGACTACTAGAACAGTAGAACCAAGGTCCATAGTTGCGAAGTGCGTTTAAATCATTCACTTTGTCTACTATATCTATGGTATATGCCCTGTCTACTTTTGGTTAGTATAGTTGATTTCTCATTCATTTGGTTCGAAGCAGAGATAGTCATCTGATATAGCAATTTTCGTGCATAACTTCACAATTTTTAGTTTGCCTGTCAAATAGATAGTGGATCAGTGGACTCTTGATCTCCTAGATGCATTTTCTTGCACTTCGTTGCCAATTGCCATGTCTGTTTCCGTTTTAAATATTTTCTAATACAGGTTATCCAGTGTTTTCCATATTGGTATGCATAGTTGGCTATTTTATTATCTTTCTTTGACGATACTAAGAATAATATAGTGTAAAATGAGAGTAACTGGTCCCTCTGGTATAGCTTTGATTAGCAGCAGGTTCTGATAAAAAAGCAGAAGTCACAATAATGTTTACTGTTTACCTCCACAAAAAATTGACGTAGCACAACCAAAATGATACTTTTAATCTCTGTTTACCATAGTGCAGTAGAGCTTATTAAAGCATATGATTAAAAATTCAAGTACGGACATCCTTTTCTTATGCATTATTTTGCATGGAACTTGGCATGATTGGAGATATTTGCAGTGATAGGTATAGCTGTAATTTTGGTTTGAGAGTTTTCCAATAGCTAATTTGGTCTTTTGAATTAATAGCTAGTTTGGCATGATTTGGTCTTATGTTAAAGTACATGTTCTTCTTAGAGATCAAGGAAGATATAGGAATAGGAAGAATGAGATAGCAACAAATGTTTTAGGTGTATGCCCCCGTGACATGAGATTTACATATGTATTGCCTGGATGGGAAGGTTCTGCAGCAGATGGTAGAGTTCTACGGGATGCGTTAGTTAGATCAGATCCATTAATTGTTCCCAAGGGTATGTGACAATTAGATATCAAGTGTTTTTTTTTCTTTTAACTATAAATGAGTAATAATTTGTTGTCTAACATTACTGGCAAGTACTTTCTTGTTGATGCGGGTTATGCAAATAGCTCCGGTTTCTTAGCTCCAAATAGGGGAGTTAGATATCATCTTAGCGAGTGGTCTGCTAGTGGGAGCAAGCCTCAAAATTTTAAAGAGTTATTCAACCTTCGACATTCAATTGCTCGAAATGTGATTGAAAGGACATTTGGTTTGTTCAAGAAGCGGTGGGCCATTTTGAGAGATGCATCTTTTTTTGATGTTAAGACTCATGTCATGATAATTAATGCATGTGCCATCCTTCATAATCTTATTCGAGTAGAACAACCAAATGACCCTTACTTGGATGAAGTTGATGCTGAGATGCGAAGAGTACAACATGAGGTTGATGATGAAGATGAAATGGAAGATGAAGATGAGGAAAATGAAATGGAAGATGATGGTCCAAATAATGATGGTGGTGTAAATGCTGTTAACGAGAATCGAATTCGAACAGTACAACCAACTAGCGAGTGGACACAATTTAGGAATGCTTTAGCACGAGCAATGTTTATTGACTATCAAATTAGACAAGGCCATCATGGAAGTTGAAATTTGATAGGAATTTATTCGAACTTAATTTCATATTAGAATGGCCATTTATTGAAAAATAGTAGCAATGTATAATTGTGCTTTTCTTTCTCTCTTTTTTTTTTTTGGCTAAAAACACTTTGTTTGCGTATTCCTCTATTTCTTGTATTCCTATATTGAAATTTCTTGTAAGATACAAAACTCAAATATTTATAATAGGTACAAGTTATGACTTTCCTCCCAATTCATATCATAGAGTAGGCTTTTGATTTTCTAAAATTTAAAGTTCTTAACTTTAAAAATGTATCAAGGTTTTAACTCGATAAATATTAACTACTTTTTAAGTTAGAATATACAATTATTTTTTATTTAATATAATTTAATTTTTTTTAAAAAAAAGAATTTTTTATTTTTGCAAAAAAGGAACTATTTTTTTTCTTTTAAAGCTTTATTTAAGAAAAGAAAAGAAAAGAAGAATATCATTCAAAAAGAGAAAAAAGTAAGCAGAAGAAACTACTACTCGAAATCCTTGAATCAAACCCTAATCGAAGAATCCAAATCTTTCAGGTAACTGATTTTTCCAGTAATATTCTTTACTTTTATTCTCTGTTTTGTTTTTGGTTTCGGCATGATATGTTAATTACAGTCTTAATCGTTTTCTTTTCTGGAACAAGTAGATTAAAATTCTAGGTCTCTAAATTATGAGGACCTTGAATATTTATCCTTTTTTGGTTTATTTTGTGAGAATCATAGCTTAGGTTGTTTGTAATTGTGAAAAGATATTGCCCAAGTGCCCTTTAATCTGTAAGTGGTGATAATTTTAATTGTTCTGGAAATGAAGATCATAAACTCACTAGGGTTCATAAAGAAAACAAAAAAGAAAAAAGTAATGCTGATCATTAATTGTATATTAAGAACAGTTTTATACAAAAAATAATTTGGTGCAGTATTTTGGCGTTTAAATTAAAAAACTGTTTCTATATCCTTGTGATGGAGCAATTATGTTGGAGAAATGCTTGTCTTCCTTTTTGGGGCTTGGGGGTCATGTAAATGTAGTTTTTGAATTCAATGGCGGGTAATGAAGGTATGGAAAGTAGATGGATGTTTCACCAGCAGAATTTTGTGGTTTGTCGTTGAGGGAAATGGGTTATAGGTTGCTTAGCAACTACCCTGGTTAGATTTTGCTTCCTACACGGAGGCACAAGGATGAATGTGTAAGAGTTTGCTTAGCAATTTCCCTGTTACTGCTTTTTTGCATCATGATCATTTGTGATTTTGTACTCTTTTTTGCAATAATTACACCTTCTAACCCTTCATTGAACTCCCTCTTTGGTAAATTAAGGTGAAAAACTATAAAAGAACAGAAAAAGGAAGGAGTAGATGGATTTAGCAGACAAGGCCGTGGGGCTGCTGTTATCGGTAATCAGCTTGTCAGTTTTCACTTACTATACATTCTGGGTGATCATACTGGTTAGTTTTTTCACTTTTGATCCTAAGAGCTTTTTCTTTTTGACTCTGGGTTTTTCCCTTTGTTTCTGACGTACATTTTTCTTTTGTGCTTTCAGCCGTTCGTTGATACTGATCATTTTGTGCACAAGTACTTTTTGCCTCAAGAATATGCCATTCTGATTCCGGTGTTTGCTCTTGCGGCGCTGCTTTGCTTCCTTTGCATGTTTGTTGGATATGTGATGCTCAAATCCAAAAAGAAGAAGGCATAATGCAAGATCTATAGTGTGTGCTGCAACTATCATTTTTTTTGTCACATACAGATAGTTTTATTGCTGGGTTTCTCTTTTACTTGTAAATGGAGGATTTAGATGATTGCACTCAGTTCCTGTTAATTTGGTGAAACCTGAAACTGGTAATTGTCTTAGAAAAAAAGCTGACAAATTGCAGATAAAGATTATCTTCAGATATTGTTAGCCTGCTCTTGTAAGAGAGCAGTTGGTATCATTTTGTTTCGCAAGATCTAGCATTTATCTTTTAGTTGTGGAAAAACAATGCCATAATTTTGCTTATGTACACCAATGCTTGGCGCTCTGAGGTTCCATTTGTTGGTCAACTGCTTCATGCATGTTTGTTCTTACAAATGTAGGTTGGGAGGAAATAATGATCTTCTTTAATTCGTTTTTGGTTTTCTTTGGTTAATGGCATGGCTTGGTAAGCCTGCCTGACTAAAGCTCTATCAGAGACAGGCTCACTTTGTTCGGCATTACTGGAAGAATTGCTTTTTGACCTGTACGTGTGAGGATGAAAGTTGGTATCTGCTGGAGTGATGAAGTAGCCTTTTGATGTGATTTTACCAATCAAAAGTCTTCTCATAAGATTCTTTCTTATTTCAATTGCTGGACTCGTTAATTTTGGCTGATTCTAGGGCTAAAAAGGATACCTAGATTTCATTGCTTAAGCAGTAGTTATACGAGTGACTACAGAACGAAATGATGCTGGTATTCTAGTTTGACAAGATGATATCTGAATTTACTACGTAAAATTGAAACTTTTGTAACATGATTGAGATTGCTTGGTGTAATTGTGACAGCCCCACTTTCCCCTAAGGCGGACCAAAGAGGTTAGCGCGCCTGTCCAGCTCTCGCTAGAACTACAGAGTCAGATCACACAAATCATATATTGCACACGATCAAACCCCAAGGAAAGTAACAATTAAAAATCACTAAACTACAATACATCTTACCAACTCGTGTAGGGAAATTAGGACATCGATTGAACACTCACCAAAGCCCTGGAAGCGTAACATCTCAAAAATACACTTAACAGACAAGACTAAATACTTATACATGTATTTACATCAGAGTCTTCAACATTTTAACTTGAAGTACAAGCCAAAGGGTTCATACTAGTCAAAATACAATTAGGGTTTCGGTTACAAAGGAGCTTAACAAAATAACATATACATTAGCTCGACTCTTTTCTTCCAAAATCGTGGTTTCAAAGTTTGTCCCCTGTAAGGAAAACAAAGATAACGGAAAGGGGATGAGCTTACGCTCAATGAGGTACCAAAATAATAGCAAATAAGAAACGTGGAACTTCATATTCAATTAGTCACATATGCGAATCAAATAAAGAAATTAACAAACACCATAGATAGAAAGGATACGGGTGGCTCTCAGGAGCCAAATTCCCATTTGCTTCACCGAAACTTGATTGAAATAATAGTTGACACTCCGTCAACGCTAAAGGAATAACCAATACTGTAGACTCCACTTTCTCCGATTCCTTCCATCTCACATACCCCTACCGGGCCCGAATTTCAATCAGTTCAGAAATGGTAATACTCGAGTATACCGGAATCAAGAGTTTCAATACCCAAATATTCCTAGAACAGACTACCGTGGTTCGTTATCTAATCGACCAGACCCTTGTCGACTCGACTCGAATAACTTAGCCACAGGATTTGAGCTCAGATGTCACAGAAAGGTCGTTGGATACAAGCTTCCAAACAACGTCAGAACAGATACAGATACAGATAACAGATTCAAATTCGCATAGTAAATTGGCATATGAACAGACAAGAGAACGAGTGTGATAAAGTACATGCTCATCTCAAACAGAATAAACAGATAGTACATTCGTTCATATCACAGATTGCATATACAGACCCCAAGTTAAATAACAAGTAAGGGGAGTGGTACACTCACCAGTTTAAATAAAACAATTTCAAACGTTCCCCCCGAAGTACTTCCAAGATCACCAGCACGTCCTAAAATAATCAAAGTAAACAATTATGGTTCCTATGGGAATGACATTCACAAATGAAATTCAACTATGAATCATATGCCTAACCCAACAAACTACAAATGCAAGGGTGCAAAAGCGTGATTTTCGAAACAAAAGTAACGAGAGGACCTATGGTTTGAACGACCCAAAAGCCCTTCATTTCTTTCAAAAGGCAACTCAAACCTAAAGAGACTAAACGGCCTAGAAAATTGGACAGCATTTCTCCTAAATTTGCTTACTTTTCCAGCCATCATGGCTTCATTTTTCCTCAAATCAGCTTCAATGTCACACACAAAATAATCTCATTTTAATAGCCGTTCAATAGGCTCAAAGTGGTATAAGTACAAATTCAAGTTAGGAAAATGTTCGGAAAGGAAAATAGGTTTGACGTTGTTTTGCGTAACGGACACAACGGAGGCTACGCTTATCGGATTGGAATGCAATTTATACTGTTTCGAAGCTAAGACAAAGGCCTATAACTTTGATGAAGACCACTCAGTTCAGTTCGTAGTGTAACTAGGTCAAAAGTGCAATATACGAAACCAGAATCTCACAAACAGGTTAGCTAACTGCACTATGGTTAAACGACAATAACTCAAGCTACCGAAGTCCGATTGAGGTGTATCTTATGAAGTTTCGAAACCAAGACATATACCTACATTTCTTATGAAAACCTCCAAAGCCAAATCATGCATTTTCATGATAAAAAATGGAAGTTCCCACGAAAACAGAAATCTGGGCGCGAAACAGGGTTCATGGATAGTCAAGGGTATTTCGGTCATTTCATAAGATACAGTGCTCCGATTGAATTGAAATTTTGTAGGAAACTAGTTTACACCATTTTCTACAACTTTCATGTTTTGGCAAAAATCTAATTCGATAAGAATCATGGTGAAAAGTCACGGTCAGATTGGGTGAAATGACAATGCTGTCCACCGAACTTTTACATATGGCAGTCTGGGTATTTCTGTCTTTTCACAGGTTACAGAGCTCGGATTAGGTTGAAAATTTACAGGCAACTATAAAATATCATTTTCTACAACTTTCATGTTTTAACCCAAGGCTGATTCAGCCTCTAACCTAGCCGAACAGAACCGGCCAGAACAGGGGTGAATTGAAATCCTAATCTGGAAATTTCGGTACAAAGCGGAAATTTTTCGCAAATAACTACAATTTACGCATCAAAACTTCATTCTAGACCATTCCAAACCATCATCCATGGCCATGCAATAATAAACATATAAAACAGAAAAAAATCATGAATAAAATAAAATTCACCAATCTCTACCAAAAATCAAGAAATCTTCCACCAAATCGCATCTTTAACCAACACAAGTCATTAATTTGACATTATCAAGACTAAAGAAAGAATTCCCTAACTACTCATCTTGCAACCTCAAGAAAGTAAGCAACTTAGCACCAATTTCTTCCAAACAACTTCACCAACAACCTTACTACTACTAAACTAAGGGTTTTTATGGAGGAAATTCAAGTTTAATCGGTTGGATTGAGAGATTGAGCAAGATTAGAGGCAAGAGAGTTGAGAGTTTTCTTTTCTTTTCTTCCTAGAGAGGGCCGGCCAAGAAGCTTCAAAATGAAGATGATTTTGGATCCAAATTAGATATTTAGTAAAGGTAATGAATAGTAGTCAAGGTAAAGATTGAACCACCAAGTGACACTGTCACCCTTATTATTAATGCAACTCTATCCTTTTGTCTCTCTAATGATAATCCATCTAGGTAATCTCTAATTATCCCTTAACACCTAATTAATTAATTCCTGTATACAAAACGTAACTTAATTGGTTGAATTTATCGCGCTTAACGCCACTAGTGGATCCCACGTCCAATATACACCCTTTATTTCTCATGAACTAACTTATACTAGAAAAATAGTTTAAAAACTATGTTTACTTATAAAATCTCAGAAAAATAAATATAATATGGTATAATGACGAAAAATGCAGGCGAGGGAATAAAATAAATAATATATAAAATTAGGAAAATTTACGGATCCTCACAGAAACTAGCTTGTCATGCTTGACATATTCATACTTTTAGCCTCAGTCCATTTGAGTTCTCTGCAGTGTTAGAAGCAAGTTTTCCTGTGACAACAGTTTGCTAGTAGGAATTCTACAGCATAAAATTTAGTAGTAGAGTTGCCTGTATGCTGCATATCCAAGCCCAAGTGTTACTGATAGCTTTGAGCTTCAGCTCCTAGTATGCAGTTATGTCTCGGCACCTACACGGCATGCAATTCCCAGGGTTTACTAGGTTTTCACGCAACAGAGACGTGCAGATTATATATATATATATATTGCATTGCATTCCATGTTTTTACAGCAATCAATGAGCTTTCTTCAAATTTGCACTTCTTTGGATTCAACATCCGGTAAAAATTCATTACAAACAGAACTTTTGCCAAAAGATAAGATGGATTGGTTGCTGGACATTGAAATTGCAAAATTCATACCTCTTTAGGCAAAAGCAGTACACAAATTAAACTTTATACAAGTGCAGAAGCTTCTTATCTTATAGGAAATAGGAGAAGCACTCCATACATAGACAGAAAAGGGGAAAGAAACAGTAATGAACTGGCCTTGTTACAAAACAAAAGCCTTGCTATGCCTACGAGGCAGCCAATGATATTCAGCTTTCAGCAAAGTTTCTACAAACTTATGACTGAAAAACTTCTTTCCGGAAGGGAACACACTCTCCTCTGAAAGCACAATCGGCCTAAGTACTTGATGTCTAACCTGCAAAACATCGTTTAGCCCAACATTTTACAGTTAGATTTTCAAATTCCAGTGTAATAATCCACGATATTCCAATTCATAATAATTGCAATGCAAGGCTCCAAGTTTTGTTGCTATTTAGTTTGGACTAATGTCGACAAAAATAAGAAAATTGATATGCAGGAATAGTAGAGATAAAGAAGCAGAAGCTGGATTATTGAAGGGGTGAAGTTGGTAGGCGCAGCAATTTTCTTGCTGGTCAACTCTGCTGCCACAACCTAATGAAGTTGGCTGGATTGGATGTTCTTCCAAGTACATCCATCCACCTTACGAGTTTATACGTCATGGTTTGTTACTAACCACGAAGACTTTCTCTCCATGATTCACGATTACTACAACAACTAATCCTACTTTACTTATTTTTTTTCGATAAAGTGAGAGTATTTGAATTCAAAAATTCTTATTTACGAATTCTCCCACTTTATCACTCGTATCAACCCTCTCTCGAATCACTCGACTACTTCAATTGTCAAAAGCCAAATGTAAAAGCAGGTACA